AGAGTGAGAAAGGACAGACAGAGAGGGAACGACAGGGAGAGAGAGAAGGACAAAGAGAGAGAGAGAGAGAGAGAGAAGAGAGAGAGCGAGAGATAGGGAGAGAGAGACAAAGAAAGAAAGAATTAGGGGAGAGAGAGAGAAGAGAGAGAGAGAGAGTAGAGGGAGAGAGAAAGAGAGATAGAGGGAGAGAGAAAGAGAGAGATAGAGGAGAGAGATAGAGGAGAGAGAGATAGAGAGAGAGAGAAAGAGAGATAGAGGGAGAGAGAAAGAGAGATAGAGGTAGAGAGAGAGAGAGAGAGATAGAGAGAGGGAGAGAGAAAGAGAGATAGAGGAGATAGAGAGATAGAGAGAGAGAGAGAGAGAGAGAGAGAGAGAAGATAGAGGTAGAGGGAGAGAGAAAGAGAGATAGAGGTAGAGAGAGAAAGAGAGAAGAGAGATAGAGGGAGAGAGAAAGAGAGATAGAGGATAGAGGGAGAGAGAAAGAGAGATAGAGGGAGAGAGAGAGAGAGAGAGAGGTAGAGAGAAAGAGAGAGAGAGATAGAGGGAGAGAGAGAGAGAGAGAGAGGAGAGAGAAGAGAGAGAGAAGAGAGAGAGAGAGAAAGAGAGATAGAGGGAGAGAGAGAGAGAAAGAGAGATAGAGGGAGAGAGAAAGAGAGATAGAGGGAGAGAGAGAGATAGAGGGAGAGAGAGAGAGAGAGATAGAGGGACAGAAGAGTCCGGAACGACGGGACAAGTCCTCCTGAAGACGGACGACAGGGAGGAGACGAGGGTCAGTGTGTTTACAGAGAACGAGGGAGAAGGAGGAGAGAGGGAGAGAGGGAGGAGAGAGAGACGGAGAGGGAGAGAGAAAGAGAGAGAGAGAAACAAGTCCTCATGAAGACGGACAAGGAGGAGTGAGAGTGTTTACAGGGTAAGAGAAAGAGAGAGGGAGAAAGGACAGAAAGGAGGAAGAGGGGAAGAGAGAGTGATAGACAGGGAGAGAGAGAGAGAAAGAGAGGGAGGGAGAAAGAAAAAAAGGAGAGGGAATGACAGACAGAGAGAGAGATAGGGAGAGAGAAGGACAAAGAGAGAGAGAAAGAGAGAGCGAGTGATAGGGAGAGAGAGCGAAGGAGAGAAAGAGAGAGGGGGAGAGAGAGAGGGGAAGGCAAGTCCTTCTGAAGAGGAACAACAGGGAGGGTCACTGTGTTTCAAGGGAACGAGAGAGAGGGGGAAGAGGGAGAGGTAAGGGAAGTGAGAGAGAAAAGGAAGGAGAGAGAGAAAGGAGAGAGACAGAGAGAGAGAGAGAAAAGGAAGAGGGAGAGGTATGGGAAGAGAGAGAAAAACGGAGAGAGAAGGAGGAAGACAGGGAGAAGGAGAGCAAGAAAGAAAAAGAGAGAGAGAGAGAGAGCGTGAAAGGACAGAGAAGGAGGAAGAGAGGAAGAAAGACAGCGAGAGATAGGAAGAGAGAGAAAGAGAAGCAGAGAGAAGGAGAGGAGAAAGAGATGGATATAGATAGGGAGAGAGAGAAGGAGAAAGAGAGGGAGGGAGAGTGAAAGAGAGAGAGAGAAAGAGAGACACAGAGCGAGAAAGGACAGAGAGGAGGAAGAGGGGAAGCGATAAAGGTAACGGAAGAGAGATGGAGGGGAAAAAAAGAGAGAAAGAAGGAGAGAGAGAGAGATGGAGAGAGGAGAAAAGAAAGAGAGAGGAAGAGAGAGAGAGTCCATAGTTGCGTCCACAAACTGATGAAGAGGAAGTCGACCAAAAACAAGATTACATCACTTTAAATCTGCTTCACTCAGAATAAAAGTCTCAAATATTTCAGTTTTTTTATTTGTTTGAGACTCTGACGGTGGCGCAGACGTTCAGCAAACGCCTCCTGACCAGACGGCTGCAGGGTCAGGTTTACTGTGGCGGGTAAAGACGAAAAAAAAAAAAAGAAGCCAAACTCTAAAAATAAACTGGATTATTTGACCTAAAATGGATCTTTAAAGGTGCACTGCGTCACTTTTCTGGTGGAGGAATCCGTGTGTGGTTCGTTCATTTGTTTTTCAAAATAAAACCAAAACTAAGAGAATGAAAAAACAACTATTTTCTTCATTATTTGTCTCCAAAACTAAAATGAAAAAAACAGATAATGATTTGTTTTTTCAGTTTTCGATTTTGGGATTAAATGAAAAATGGAAAAAACGGATAACGGACTGAACCAGGACTAAACCAGGACTAAACCAGGACTAAACCAAGATTAAACCAGGACTGAACAAGGACTGAACAAGGACTAAACCAGGACTAACTAAACCAGGACTGAACAAAGGATTAAACCAGGACTAAACCAGGACTAAACCAGGACTGGGACTAAAACAGGACTAAAAGGACTAAACAGGACTGAAAAACCAGGACTAAACAGGACTAAACTCCTGGTTCAGTCCTGAATTAGACCTGGACCTGGTTTTTCATATTAGCCCTGGTTCAGCCCTGGTTTAGTCCTGGTTTAGTCCTAGTTCAGTCCTGGTTTAGTCCTGGGTTTAGTCCTGGTTTAGTCCTGGTTCAGTCCTGGTTTAGTCCTGGTTCAGTCCTGGTTTAGTCCTGGTTCAGTCCTGGTTTAGTCCTGATTTCGTCTTGGTTTAGTCCTGGTTCAGTCCTGGTTCAGTCCAGGTTTAGTCCTGGTTCAGTCCTGGTTTAGTCCTAGGTTTAGTCCTGGTTCAGTCCTGGTTTAGTCCAGTCCTGGTTCAGTTCAGTCTGGTTTCAGTCCTGGTTTTGTCCAGGTTAGTCCTGGTTCAGTCCAGGTTCAGTCCTGGTTCAGTCCTGGTTTTGTCCAGGGTTAGTCCTGGTTCATCCTGGTTTAGTCCTGGTTAGTCCTGGTTCAGTCCAGGTTTAGTCCTGGTTCAGTCCTGGTTTTGTCCTGGGTTAGTCCTTGGTTCAGTCCAGGTTTAGTCCTGATTCAGTCCTGGTTCAGTCCAGGTTTAGTCCTGTTTAGTCCTGGTTCAGTCCTGGTTTAGTTTGGTTTAGTCCTGGTTTAGTCTGGTTTAGTCTTGGTTTATTTTCGTTTCCTTATTTTTGGTTTTATTTTGAAAAACGGCACCAGAACAAGAAACACAGTTGGTGAAACAGGTGGCAGATGTTGCTCTTTAAAAGTTCCACGGTGCAGCTTTAAAATATTTATTGTTTTACTCGGATGTGAAGTGTTTTAATGGCGTTTCGTCGTCTCTCTAAAAGCAGGATGCTGTTTGTGTCAGTGGGCGGCGTGAGATATTCTTATGTAATCTGAATCTGTGAGTGAAACCAGGACAGAGCTGCTGCAGATCCGAGCTCCTCGAGAAAAACACATCAGGTCTTTAAGTCTGCGGAGAGGCGACCCTGTCTGCTCCTGTCTGCTCCTGTCTGCTCCTGTCTGCTCCTCCACGCTCTCATAACATTCAAAACAAAATCTAGACCTTCTTTAACCTGAGATAAATAAGAGTTTGGTGCTTCAATTGGACAAAATCTATGCTGTTCTTTAGTCCTCTGCATTATTTTCTTTACCTTTTTTTATGTGTAAACTACGGAAGCCCTGGACGGCAAACAAACAAAAAAAAAAAAAAAAAACAAGAACAAAAAAAAGTCATGTCAAGTGTTTTTTTGTTTTTTTTTTGCACCAACAGCTCCCAAAAACAAATAAATAAAATAAATTAATTAATTAATAATTCTTGCCTTTTTTTTGTTGCACCAACAACTCAAAAAAAAAAAAAAAAAAATCCTGACTTTTTTTGTTTGTTTGTTTGTTTGTTTTTTGCTCAAACAGCTATTTATTTTTATTTTTTTACTGGTGAAAAAAAAAAAAAAAAAATCTAAAGTCAAACACTCCAGAGCCCAAGTGTTTTCCTCATGTCAAGTGTTTTTTTTTTTCCACCAACAGCTCCCAAAATATAAATAAATAAATAAATAAATTAATTCTTGCCTTTTTATTTGCACCAACAACTCAAAAAAAAAAAAAAAATAAAAAAATTAAAAAATAAAAAATCCTGACTTTTTTTGGGCTAACAGCTATTTATTAAACTTTTTTTACTGGTGAAAAAAAAATCTCAAGTCAAACACTCCAGAGCCCAAGTGTTTTCCCAATACAAACACAATTGAGGAAGATCATTAAGAAGATGCCGATACGATACATACTTTAATACGTAGTCCACGATACGATACATATCTCGATACAGTGAGCTTTCGATTCTGTATGATATATTTCAAATCGATTTGATATGGTTCAATAAAAAATAAAGCCTAAATTGTGGCTGTGGTACTTAAAGTTTCTGTTAAACCTGTGAAAAAGTTCATATGAAACACAAACATTTTAATCATCAAAACAGTGAAAATGTCAAATGTGTCGCATAAACGAGTTTCCTTCCTTTGAACAAGCAACAAAACTGTAACTGTAACAAAATAATTTAGTAAAATATACCAAAAAATACTCTTGGTGATGTATCGATACAGCATCCCACGATATCGATACTGTATCATCACATTAAACGATGCGATAAATCGATAGTTCAATATTTTTGCACAACCCTACTAGTGAGATATTCTTCCACATTTCACCTCAACATTTAATTTTAGGTTTTTTTTCCATCAGCCACATCAACAGCAAAAAATAAATAAATAAATAACTGTGTGCAAAAAAAATTAAACTAAACAAAAAAAAAAGGTAAGATTTTTTTTTCTTTTTTGGAAGCTGTCGGTGAAAAAAAAAAACAAAAAAAAAACAAAAACAATGTGGAAAATGGAGCCCAAATGACATACCTCTTTTTTTTTTTTTTTTTTTTGCTTGCCGCTCAGGGCTTCCGTAGCTATGTTTGTTTTGACACAAACAGACCCTGCCTCTCTCTGATTGGTTAATGCACCTGTCAATCACACCCTCTGAAATCAATGAGACGCGATACAGCTCCAGACTCTAAGTTTTTCTAAGTGTTTCTGGCTCGACAGGTGACAGGTCAGTGTTTTTGTTAGAGCTTAGTGCAGTAGTGCTGTTCCTAAACTGTAGAACGGCTCCGAACCTTTTTCTCGTGGGCGGGTTCTCTCTCCTGGGGCTGATCTTCTGCCGAGGCCACCTTCACCACCTCCTGTTTCTTGTTGATTCTGTTTTTCCAGTCCTCCTCTCCGCTCTTCTTCAGCAGCGCCACCCTGGAACGCGCAGCAAAAACAACAGTAAGACTTCGCTCAGACTCCAGGACTTAAAGCTCAGTTCGGATTTTATTGTGAAATCCAATTTTTTTGCGAAGTCGTTCACTTTTCTGATTAAATGAGACTTGTTTGTGATCTCCAGTGTGAACTTTAAATTCCCACATGTGCATCGGAGGACACAACAACATGGTACGATATTTATTGCGATATCGTGGGAAAGCTCACGATACGGTTGGGAGGCCCACGATATTACGATATTCTACATAAAAACAACATAACATTATAAAATGCTTTGCACAGTCTTTTGGTAAAACATGTATTCTAGGGATTTAACAATATCCGAATTTCTCAGTACAGTCATCTCACGATACGATATTTATTGCGATATTTTGAAGAGCTAATAATTAATAAAGATGGGACACTTTTTTGGCTTTTAAAACACCTTGACAAGATTTTGGTTTGAATTATTTCCATCATAATCCCAAGAATTCAAGTAAAAAATGTATTTCTTCACTGTGTCTGCGCTGAAATGAATCATGGGAGATGTAGTTCTGATGTTTATGAGCTGTTGCTGCTATAAACTCATGTATTTAAGCAAAGAAACTTGCGATTCGATATATTGTGACAGCTCACGATGTTATTGTGAGACTTTTGACGACACGATATCACGATATTTTGGTTATTGTTCCATCCCTAGTGCTCAGTGTTTACGGAAGTCGCCTAAACGCTGAGCTTGTCTCCCAAAATAGGGTTCAATTCTTCGTAAAATGAACAGGTTACACAAGCTGCTTCGCTGTTTGAGTCTTTAGTCTCCTTGTATTTGACTCACAAACTCTTTATTTTTTGTTGACACTGGAGCCAGGACCGCCTGCACTTTTGCACTTTTTTGTTTTGTTTTGAGGCAATAATGATATTTTTAGTTTACTTAAAGACTTGATATTTCGCACTCTTGTAGATAAGGCTCCAAATTAAACATTTTTTATGTCCAAAAAGTTGTTTATACATGTTTGCTGCTGTGTGTGTGTGTGTGAAAGAGTGTGAATTTTATTTTTATTTATTTAATTTTTTTGTTTTTCATTTGTATTTCTGGTCTTGTCGCTTTTATTACAGCCTAACTACAGCAGCAGATTGAGAAATAACAAGTCGTAGTGATAAAAGGATGTATAAAACTTCATTAGGTGGGAGTTTTAAAACGCAAAATTAAGAAAAAAAATCCAGGCGAGGACAAATGTACTAAAACTGCCCATTGGTGTGGAAGGGTTAATCATTCCAGTAGCGTCTTTAAGTGTGTAAAAGTGGGTCACAGCCTGTTTGTCCTCCCCTGAAGTTTAAACAGACTCTATACAAAAGCTTAGCGGGACGTACTGACTTTCTGCTACGGGCCGGAGGAAAGTAGGTTTAGTCTCTTGAACGTGGACGGAGCAGAATCCAGGGCAGAGCCGGTGTGTCTCTGTGGAGAACGCTGCGCTCAGAGCCAGAGCCTGATTCTAAAAATGACTCCCTCCTACAGCAGAGGGAACCGGAGAGCGCTGGACGACTCATATCAACGTCAGAGTCAAGACGGGAATCTGATTTACAGTAAATTTAAGTTAAAAGATCTTACGTTTTTGAGTTTCTAACCATGAAATGTTTGACTCACAAGTGTCTCAGTATCATCAGAATTTAGATACGTCATTACTTTATTTCGTGTATTATTTCCATGTTCAGTGTTGGGGAGTAACAGATTACGTGTACCAGAGTTAAGTAATCAGAGTACAAATGATGAGTAACTGTATTCAGTTACAGTGGTAATTAGATTACAGTTACTTGGTTGAAATAAAATATTTTTTTTTTTCGGTAATTCCACTCATTGCCGGACATTAAACCAGGTCTAAACAAGGTCTAAACCAGAACTAAACCAGGTCTAAACCAGGACTAAAACCAGGTCTAAACCAGGTCTAAAACCAGGTCTAAACTAGGTCCAAACCAGGTCTAAACCAGGTCTAAACCAGGTCCAAAATCTAGGTCTAAAACCAGGTCTAAACCAGGTCTAAAACCAGGTCCAAAACCAGGTCTAAAACAGGTCCAAACCAGGTCTAAAACCAGGTCTAAACTAGGTCTAAAACAGGTCTAAACCAGGTCTAAAAACCAGGTCTAAACCAGGTCTAAAACCAGGTCTAAACCAAACCAGGTCTAAACCTGGTCTAAACCAGGTCTAAAACCAGGTCTAAAACCAGGTCTAAACCAGTCTAAACTAGGTCTAAAACCAGGTCTAAACTAGGTCTAAACCAGGTCTAAACCTGGTCTAAACCAGGTCTAAAACCAGGTCTAAACTAGGTCTAAACTAGGACTAAACCAGGACTAAACCATCACTAAAACCAGGTCTAAAACAGGTCTAAACCAGGTCTAAACCAGGCCTAAAACCAGGTCTAAACCAGGTCTAAACCAGGTCTAAAACCAGGTCTAAAACCAGGTCTAAACCAAGGTCTAAAACCAGGTCTAAAACCAGGTCTAAACCAGGTCCTAAACCAGGTCTAAACCAGGTCTAAAACCAGGTCTAAAACCAGGTCTAAACCAGGTCTAAAACCAGGTCTAAAACCAGGTCTAAACCAGGTCTAAACCAGGTAGGACTAAACCAGGACTAAAAACCAGGTCCTGGTTTTAGTCCTGGTTTAGTCCTGGTTTAGTTGTTATTTGACGATCAGCGACAGTTATTTTGGTGAGAGTAAATTAAAAGTGCTGTAATAGTCGTGTCATGTTTTACTTTTTACACACAGTAATATTGTAATGTAACTAAATACTTTGAAATGACAGTAACAAGTCATAAATAAATAAATATCACATCACAGTTTTAAAGTCACTCGCCCAACAGTGATTTGAATAAATTTAAGACTGGTACATTTAACACAAAACCATGAGCTTTACTTTATCATTTTGAAAGTTTGATTTCAAAGCTGTTATTATAAAATACATTTAAAGAATTTGTTATTATTGTGATTGTGTCTGTTATAATCAATAAGATCCTTGAATCATCACGTTATCATTTGGACAGTTTAAAGTTTAAAGTCTGGTTTAAGGTCATGGTGCTGGTGTTAAATCATGAAAATTGTTAAATTGTGAAGACTAAAATCTTGTGAGGCGGAGTCCTGCATCGGGTCGGGGTTTTAACGTTCTGGAATTTGGAAGTGGGGCAGGTTTGCGGGCGGGTTTGCGGGCGGGTCGTGATCACACACGGGCGCGTCAGGAGAATCCAATGAACAATGAACAGAAGAAAAATACTTGACGCACGTCCAGGAAACAAGTGACATTTCCCGTCTTTTCCCAGAACGATGGACCAGGATGAGACACTTTATTGTTTTTATGACATAAAACATCAGTGGAGGAGATCGGCTCAACGGCTCCTGGTTTAGAACCTGGTCCAGTCCTGGTTTAGAACTGGTCCAGTCCTGGTTTAGAACTAGTTTAGTTCTGGTTCAGTCCTGGTTTATTCCTGGTCCAGTCCTGGTCCAGTCCTGGTTTAGAACTAGTTTAGTTCTGGTTCAGTCCTGGTTTATTCCTGGTCCAGTCCTGGTTAAGTCCTGGTTTAGTCCTGGTTTATTCTTGGTTTACACCTGGTCCAGTCCTGATTCAGTCCTGGTTCAGTCCTGGTCCAGTCCGGGTCCAGTCCTGGTCCAGTCCTGGTTCAGTCCTGGTTCAGTCCTGGTCCAGTCCTGGTTTAATCCTGGTTCAGTCCTGGTTTACACCTGGTTTAGTCCTGGTTCAGTCCTGATCCAGTCCTGGTTCAGTCCTGGTCCAGTCCTGGTTTAATCCTGGTTCAGTCCTGGTCCAGTCCTGGTTCAGTCCTGGTTAAGTCCTGGTCCAGTCCTGATTCAGTCCTGGTTTAGTCCTGGTTCAGTCCTGATCCAGTCCTGGTTCAGTCCTGGTTCAGTCCTGATCCAGTCCTGATCCAGTCCTGGTCCAGTCCTGATTAAGTTCTGATTCAGTCCTGGTTTAGTCCTGGTTCAGTACTGATTTGGTCTTGATTTAGACCTAGTTAAGTCCTGGTTTAGACCTGATTTAGTCCTTGTTTAAAACCCGGTCCAGTCCTGGTGTAGTCCTGTCGGTTGTGGCGTGTAAATATTTATAATCCGCTAATGACACGGCGTAGGTTTAGTCCTGGTTCAGTCCTGGTTTAGTCCTGGTTCAGTCCTGGTTTAGTCCTGGTTCAGTCCTGATTTAGTCCTGGTTTAGTCCTGGTTTAGTCCTGGCTCAGTCCTGGTTCAGTCCTGGGTCGGGTAACGGGTGAAATGTGATGAATTTAACTTTGACATAATCTCGGGTTAAACGGGCGGGTCTGGTCCTGGACGACTCAGGTGCGGGTCTCAAAAACCTGGACCCGCGCGGGACCCTGATACCCCCCCCCCCCCCGCGCTCGTCTCATCTCACCTCTCCCTGATGGACATCTGTTTGGACATGGCGTCTGACTCGGCGGGGGACAGCAGCTCGGGGGGACTCGGGTCTTCGCTCCGGTCCGGGGGCAGGACGTGGGACTTGACGAGCGGCTGGGGGAAGGAGGTGGGTTTGGGCGGGGTCTGCAGAACGCCGCCCGGTTTGGCCCCGGTGTTGCCCGGGTACGGTTTGGGTAAGGTGAGCGGGGGCTGCTGCTGCTGCTGGTGCTGCTGCTGGTGGTGGTGGTGGTGGTGCCCCGCGGGTTTGGGGGCCGTCTGGGGCGAGTGGGTGAAGGGTTTGGGGTAAGTGGGCGGAGGCTGAGGGGCCTGAGGGGGCAGGTAGGAGGCGGGTTTGGGCTGAGTGGGCGGCGGCTGCTGGATGAAGGGTTTGGGGAGAGTCTGAGGAGGTTGGGCGGAGGACGGATGGTGGTGTTGAACAGGAGGAGGAGGAAGAGGAAGAGAACCGCTGGACACGTGAGAAACGGCCCGAGAAGAAACTGTAGCCACCAGAGGCTTCAGAGGAGCATCTGAGGAGAGAAAAAAAAAAGTATTAGACCAGGAGTGTCAAACTCATTTTGGTCCGGGGGCCGAATCCAACCGACTTTGATCCCAAAGGGGCCGGATCAGAAAACTCATGTCATATAAACCCCAAAAATAACAATAAGTTCAAATATTTGTGCAGAGAAACACAAATCTATTACAGAAATCTTTTTTAATTGATGAACTCTTTCTTACAAATTATATAATTATGAACAACCTGAAACTTTAAGAAAAATGCAATTTCAACACAATGTTTTAACATGAACTTGTATGCAAATAGGAATAAGTCAATTTTTGTTGTAAAATCCTGCACTCGGCTCCACTTTTCTCATGTTGGACATTTTTCTGATGAGGGTGTCACGGTCAACAGTCAAAACGATCGTCCTTTAAGAGCGTTTGGAAAGAGACAAGTCTTCATTTGTGCTGCTCTGGTGGGAGGGGCCACGTACAGAGACGCTGGAGACGCTGCTGTGATAAACACCACAGAAAATTAACAAGATTTTAATAGAAAATAGAATTAAAATATTTTAGTAGAAAATCATCTGAGGGCCAGATTAAAGGTCTTGGAGGGCCGGATCTGGCCCCCGGGCCGTACGTTTGACACCTGTGTATTTCTCTAAAGGTCTTATATTACCAGTGTTGGGAAGGTGACTTTTAAAATGTAATCCCCTACAGATTACAGATTACACACACACCAGAATGTAGTTTGTAACGGAATCCATTAAATTACTTAAAGTGAGTAATGTAATCTGATTACTTTGGATTACTTGATTTGCTGTAGAGAAGCAAAGACTAAGATATCGCAACATAAGATGTTTTGTTTGCTAAAAGAAAATAAAAAGTCCAGACTTTACTGAACCAAATTAAAAATATTATTGATAGAAGAAGAAGAGACACGTCCACACAGCAGGATTTAGTCCTGTTTTAGTCCTGTTTAGTCCTGGTTTAGACCTGGTTTAGACCTGGTTTAGTCCTAGTTTTAGACCTGGTTTAGATCTAGTTTAGACATGGTTTTAGACCTGGTTTTAGACTTAGTTTTAGTTCTGGTTTAGGCCTGGTCTAGACCTGGTTTAGTCCTGGTTTAAACCTGGTTTAGACCTGGTTTTAGTCCTGGTTTTAGTCCTAGTTTAGACCTGAGTTAGTCCTGGTTTAGACCTGAGTTAGTCCTGGTTTAGACCTGAGTTAGACCTGGTTTAGACCTGAGTTAGTCCTGGTTTAGACCTGAGTTAGACCTGGTTTAGACCTGAGTTAGACCTGGTTTAGACCTGAGTTAGACCTGGTTTAGACCTGAGTTAGTCCTGGTTTAGACCTGAGTTAGACCTGGTTTAGACCTGAGTTAGTCCTGGTTTAGACCTGAGTTAGACCTGGTTAGACCTGAGTTAGTCCTGGTTTAGACCTGAGTTAGACCTGGTTTAGACCTGGTTAGACCTGGTTTAGTCCTGGTTTAGACCTGGGTTAGACCTGGTTTAGTCCTGGTTTAGACCTGAGTTAGACCTGAGTTAGTCCTAAATTTAGTCCTGGGTTGGACCTGAGTTGAACCTGAGTTAGTTTTGGTTTACACCTGACATAGACCTGGTTTAGTCCTGGGTTAGACCTGGTTTAGTCCTGGGTTAGACCTGGTTTAGAGACCTGGGTTTAGTGCTGGATTTAGTCCTGGGTTAGACCTGGTTTAATTCTTAGTTAGACCTGGTTTAGACCTGAGTTAGTCCTGGGTTAGACCTGGTTTAGTTCTTCGTTAGTCCTGGTTCTGTCAGACGAGCTTTAAATCTGGTTCAGTCCTGGTTGAATTTTCAGAGACTTTGAGCATAAAAATCCAAGTAAAGATCTTCAGGAAAAACTAAACTAATAATTTCTGTGTTTATTTTGTACGTTTTATTTTGTTGTGTTTTATTTGTGTGTTTTATTTTGTGCGTTTTATTTTGTGTGTTTTATTTTTGTCTGTTTTTTTGTGTGTTTTATTTTGTGTTTTGCTTTTGTCTTTCTATTGTCCACATCAGAATCGGCGTCTGTTTTCGAGGACAGAGATTCTTGGTCAAATAAAAACTTGTCCTAGTTTTATTATCTGTGTCGATCCAAGACGAGAGCCGCACTCACACATGACCTGCTCCTCCAGTCTCTCCTCTTCTCTCTTTTCTCTCTCTGTCCTTCTCTTTTCTCTCTCGTCTTTTTCTCTCTCGTGAAAGGACCTCCCTTGAACCGAGTCTGCACCAGCCCTTTAAACCAGGTCACTCCTTTGTGTGCTCCAACACGGCCTTTGTATAAACCCGACCACGATTGGTCTTTCTATCATTGTGGTGATTGCTCCAGGGCGGTCGAGAAGTTGTTGGGAAAATTGGTGCAATAAAAAGGCAAAATTTTATTTTTATTTATTTATTTATATTTTGGGAGCTGTTGTGAAAAAAAACACTTGATGAGGAAAACACTTGGTCTGAGTGTTTGACTTTAGTTTTTTTTTTTTTTTTCACCAGTAAAAAATAAAAATAAATCTGTTGAGCAAAAAAAACCAAACAACAAACAAAAAAAGTCAGGATTTTTTTTTTTTTTTTGGTTGTTGGTGCAACAAAAAAGGCAAGATTATAATTATTATTATTATTTATTGTTTTTGGAGCTGTTGGTGCAAAACAAAAAAAAAAACACTGACATGACTTTTTTTTGTTCTTTTTTTTTTTTTTTTTTTTTTGTTTGCCGTCCAGGGCTCCGTAGTTTACACATAAAAAAAGGTAAAAAAATAATGCAGAGGACTAAAGACAGCATAGATTTTGTCCAATTGAAGCACCAAACTCTATTTATCTCAGGTTAAAGAATCTAGATTTTGTTTTGAATGTTATGAGAGCGTGGAGCAGACAGGAGCAGACAGGAGCAGACAGGAGCAGACAGGGTCGCCTCTCCGCAGACTTAAAGACCTGATGTGTTTTTCTCGAGGAGCTCGATCTGAGCAGCTCTGTCCTGGTTTTCACTCACAGATTCGATTACATAAGAATATCTCACGCGCCCACTGACACAAACAGCATCCTGCTTTTAGAGAGACGACGAAACGACATTAAAACACTTACATCCGAGTAAAACAGTAAAGATTTAAAGCTGCACCGTGGAACTTTTAAGGAGCAACATCTGCCACCTGTTTCACCAACTGTGTTTCTTGTTCTGGTGCCGTTTTTCAAAATAAAACCAAAAATAA